GTGTGTGTGTGTGTGTGTGTGTGTGTGTGTGTGTGTGTGTGTGTGTGTGTCAGTCCTGATGAGGAGCAGGAGGAGGAATGGAATCCTGCTGACCATACTTCTCAAAACAACAACCACTCTGTTCAGTCGACTCTCCGTCTCTCTGATCGTCTGTTTGCTGACAGCATTGAAGACAGAAAACCGGAAAAAAAATCCAATGGAAAAATGTAAAACAGTGGAATTTTAATGCTACTAGTGAAATTAACAGAACATGTTTTAATTTGTATTGTCTCTTTTTACACTTTTATCAGTGTGCAGCACTTTGGCCAAYGACAGTAACCAATCAACTGAATTTGATTTTGATTTGTCTAAACACACCTTTATTTGTTAGATTTTTAAGAGTGGTGGGGATGCGTTAATTTTGCATCTAGTCTGTGCTAACAAGCCACCCAATAATCTGGAATTAGTGATCTGGTGATACTGAAATAAGGTTTAAGYAGTGAAATAATCCGCTCATGACAGATTAGATGTTATAACAAAGATTAGGGCTGTAAGAAATAACAGACTAAACACATTTTAAATGAATAACTGCACATAAAACAAAAACGATCAAATCAGGAAAAAGAGTGAAGAAAATGGATTAATTTAAAAAGGCAAAATTAAAGTGATCATGGCTGATCTCAGAGATTATCATGTTGGGATGCTACCAGCTGGGGGCGACGTTTCACACACACATAAACACACACACACACATGCAGTCACACACACTGACCCCGGGCATGCATGGTAATCCCACACTGTCCTGACCTCATCTGAGCTGAACCTGTGACAGTGCAGATMTGCAGCCCAGCTTGCAAACGCAGCAAAATCCCTGAAACTGGAGTTCCTGCAGCCTGACTCAGACAGAGAGGCAAGCAAATTTCATTTTCCATCTGTGCTCCGCCACTCTGTCCTTTGTTTTCCTGAATTATTTTCCCACTGTTGTTGGATTTCTTTTATTTGAAAAGCCCTCACATCCTTCACACTTGTCCTGGAGAGGCATTCCTTAGAGAGCAAGGTGTCTGAGTCCTTTTGTGAATGCTCTTTTTTTGTCTCCTCTACAAAACAACAATAAAAGTATTGACACACAGTTGCTTTTGCACGCACACACAGAAATGGTCACCAGCTGACGGGCAGAGCTGAGCTGCTTCTCGGGACATATACTGTAGATATTTACTGGATTTACTGGCATACATACAATACTGTTTGTTAGATAAACAAAAGCTTTAGTTTTAATTTCAGAATAGATTTTTTTCTCAYGATACAATGAGCAAAAGCCTAAAGTCAGAATGTGTGCAGGTCTGTGGAGTGAACAACTTAAGACATCACAATGGACCAAGGCGTCAGGACAACTGGACCGTAGCTGTGCTGGATGATGGGAACCATCAGGTAACTGAACTATTTATAGAAAGAAAATAGAAATAAAAAAAACTCACGAAGGGACTTTGCAATAGAATAATGGAGACATTCAAGCACTTGACTTTTGAAAGATCTCTAACCATTATCCTGTATGTTTTTTATGCAGCTTTTGTGTTTGTGCCTGTTAAGAGTTAGTTTCTAGTTTATCAGATAAATAAAAGTGTTTTATTTGATAATAAAGTCTTATTCTGCTGCTCAGTAACTGGAGGGCAGTGGATGTACTAATCTGTTCGTTCAGAGTTCACTCATCAACTCTTTTACCACCAACCAAGAGTCTTCTCAGAACACAAGCATCCTATTAAACTGGTCAGTAACAGTTTAATGAGACGGTTACAAACTAGAATAAAGAACAGTGTTTCTTATCTCCTGCTGAAGGGTCTAAGCTGAATAAAAACAGGTTTAATCCACTGTGCAGAAAGAAACAAAAGTATGAAGCCTTTAGCTTTAAAAAAAACTGCAAGTTTATGCACGTTTTATTTCTGTGGCCATTTTTAYTTCCTCTTGTCTTTTGATGAGCGATATAACTTTACTAACTCACCTTCAGTTAAGAATTAGAGAAAATTTCTAAACTTAAAAAGGCTTTAAAAAGTATATTTGCTGAAACCGACTCAAGAAAATACCACTAAACAAGTGCAATTTAGTTCAAATTGTGTGTTCAGTTCATGTTTTTAAGAAGAGAATCACAAAATAAAAATGCAAAACACCAGCAGGACATCATTAGAGACTCTTTTAGAGGGAGGAATGTTATTTTAAAACCTTTTAAATGAATAACATTTTAGCCAGGGATTAACTGGAAATGTGCAAATTTGACTGCTTTGAATTCTTTCTAAAATGAAAATGTTATGATCTTTATGAGAAGTGTATTTATTGATTGATTGATTGTTGCCTCAGCTCGCATTGATTTTAAAACTTTAAGATTTAGTATGTTTTTGAAAATGTATCATTTTGTCCTCTGTGTATTTCAGCTATAGTCTCTTATAAACACGTAAACACGGTTCTGTCATTAAAAACACTTGTCCTGCTCACTTCATGGAAGAAGTGTCCATGGGGACAGCAGCAGCACCGTGGCCCATATATTGTTTTCCAGAGACAGATTGCTGAATCTTGTTTTCCAATTCTCTGCTGACATGGTTTGTTTCTTCCTGAATCATAACCCACCTATCTTTGCTTTCATGGCAACACACACATGGTGACAGCTCTCCAGGGGGATTCAGCTGACCCAGGTTACAACCAAAACATCCGMTTAACTGGGACAGAAAGGTGCAATTTGCTCTGAATATACATTGTCAAAGTAATTTATACAAAAGTAATTCATTTCCTGTCACTGTCCAGTTTTTTATCTTTAGTGTTTGACAATAATGTGTACACAGGCACACAATATATAGACATAAATTTTTTAACATTTGTGACCAATAAAATTCACATTYAATCGATTTTTAACATGAGAACAATGTTCTGAAACACCAGAAATCAGTTTTTTTCTTACAGAATAGTCATGTTCAAAGCATGACTTTCACAAACACAAACCAACACATCAAAATGGCCATTTTTTTGTGCAAAGTGTATAACTCTTTGGTTCACAGTTCACGTCATTACAAGACTGGGCAGGAATAGGTTTAATCAGTACTCAGAAAGAAGTAGTGCAGGACAGAGTTGTATAAAAAGGAGTGCCCCATTAAACATCATGATTCATAGCGTTATACGCTGTGGAATTAAATGCAGACAAACAATGAAAGGCTGAATGGACACAATTTGTAAGTGGTGCAAAGTGCAGATAACGCAGCTGACACCTAAAAACAGCATTACATCCAGAAATTTCATTTAACAAGACTTGTTGTTTGCCTCTTTGGGACTTGTGTGGAAACTCCACAGTCCTTTTTATGATATGTGTGAAGGATTAGATTGTCTGTCGTTGTTCCCGAGTGTTTCCAGACAACAAACAGCTGCTGTTGTTGCCAAAGCGATGTCATGTCTGTCTGAGAGAGAGGCTGTCTAAAGGGCAGAGAATGAGTCTTTTTACTAAAATTGCAGACAAGCAGGTGCACTGAACAACTGCGGAGACAGGTGTGTGCTTAGTTTCTTTAAGGTGACGGAGGTCAAATGAAACAGTCTGCGTTGTGTTTCTCAAACATTCATTTTGTTTCATGTGACTTTACAGATTCAAAATTTCTCAGAGGGGAACAGAAACCAGATCATCCATAATCAATAAGCCAAGTTTCTTCACAAATAACATCGAAATGGAGGAAGAATGGTTTGAGAATCACTACATTGTGCATAAAACTGTGTAAAAAGCACAACCGAAAAAGCAAAAATTAAGACCACAGAGCCAGTGATCAGCTGAGGAATTGTAGTGCAACAAAAGAAAAACACTTTACTTTTCAGAAAAATTTCACCTGTGTTGTTATTCTTCAGTGGTTTTCCAGTAGTTTTACCTTCACTTGAAGGTTTTCATTCAATTGTCTTCTGTGAACTTCTGGTGTCTGAAGGACTAACATCTTGTTTTAGGGCACTGGTGTTCTGGCCCTGGAGGGCAACAGTCCTGCATGTTTTGGATGTTTCTCTGCTTTGACACAAATAATTTAAATGAATGAGTGGTGTCTGAGCACTTGAAGACCCGCTGAAAAGTAGGGGGACATCTAAAACATTCAGCTGGCCTCCGGGAACAGGAATGGACACCACTCTGTTGCTTCAGTCAACAAATCAGCACTGAAAAACACTATTTAAAAGATTGTTCACTTATATACAGGGCCTTAGTGTAAAACTGAATGGGTATCAGACTTAATGTTGCATTGCAGGTTTTGGAAAGCCGGAATTTGAAATCTCCTCCTCTGTTTAAAGTTTTTGTTTTTTTTTCTAGTTGGTTTATCCCTATTCTGAACAAGGCAAACAAAGACCCTAACAACTCTCCATTGTGAGGCATATAATCTGCATATGAATCTGTCTGTGGTAGGATGCTCTTTGTTTGATAAAGAGGAGAGTGGTACAATAAAAAGAATTTGCAGGCTGAAATAATGGAAGTTTTTGCATGATTGTGGACTATATACATTCTTGCAAATGAAGCTGGGAGTTTAGTCAATATTGATGGTATTTTTAGCACAACTATTAGAAAATCATTGGATTGGCCCCAGTGACCTAAAATACACAGCTAAATGTCATTATAGCATCTTTATGTTAACGAATAACAGCATGGCCGAGTCCCTGACATAAACTCACAAGACAAAAACTCACACCATCAATGGAAAAAAAGACAAACTTTCACAAATTCTACAATTTTTATTAGCCACAGTGCATAGGATTTATATTAAAAGCAATAATACATCACACATAAATCCCATTACAAATGTAAACATGCTGTGTGAGATTAAAAACACTCATTGACACTGCTCAAGTGAATACAAATATTTGTAAACCATATAAGGTGTGGAAGGTTAGAATGTGAGAGCAACTCAAAATAATAAATGTRTGCGCAGCTTTGTAGTGTTGAATAATTCTTACCCTTTGGTGTTTTAAAAATTAAAGGAGGGTATTATACAATATCAACTTTTTTGAGCTTTATATGTTTTAGTGTCATTACCTCATCAAAAACATACCCAGAGTGTTGCTTTGACTCATTCAAGCACGTTTGAGAAATTCTTGAAACCACGTGGAGCTGCCTAAACGCTTGCTGGTACAAAGCACCGCCTGTTTGTACAAAGCTCCTCCCTGGAGCTCTGTGTGCAGCCGAGCTCCCGCCACACAGAGCATTTATTTTTGATATCTACAACATTTTCTGAACAACTAAAGCTCACATAGTTACTTGATTGTGGTATATATGTGTCTGGAAAATGTGTGCTATACTGTATGTCTTGAAAATACATAATACACCCCTCCCACCTTAAAAATTCATGCAAGCTTTTGTCTGTACACTGTTTCTGGGATTACATGAAAAGACCAAAAAATCTGAAGCAGAAACATTCAGCTTAATGCTTACATCTTCGGAAAAATCTACTTGTAGTTCTTTCCAAAACTGGGCAGAGTTAATGAACAGATGCTGAATTCACGTCGGTAAAAACATTTTTTAGTTTACAACATTTTTTTATTAATCCCTTGCCTGAAACTTTTGCACAGTGCCATGTTGTACAGCATTAAAACCAATATTTACACAGCACAATTATTATTTCCATGTCTCCCAGTGGCTCTGCAGAGAGGAGCAGCTCAAGCCTCCACCCCCTTCTCAGTCCTCCACCTCACAGCAA